GAAAGCATTCAATTATGCAAGTTTGCTCTTGCATATTAGTCTCGGTCATGTCAGACGGTGAGCATTTTGGTACCAAGAAGCAGTGGTTTATGGGCTTCGTTTTAATATAGTTAAAAAAAAAAAACTTACAGAAGTGATGGTTCAAGAAACAAATCAGTGTAAGTACTTCTGTCAGTATCGACACACAAAGATTTAACATTATTTTTTTTGCCAGTTTTCATGCCACTTCTTAATGCAGAGCGAGGAGTCCACGCTGAACATGGCCACACTGAACACTGACCTTTAAGAAAAGGATGTCTTTCCCCTGTGTGCCATGTCACTTCAGCAGGCATACGCCTAAGATGCCAACGCATGATACTAAGAAATGTGTAGACTTCAAACCAGCTCAAAAGTCCACAGTCTGCCTACTGATGGTCTTTTCTACATTAAAAAAGCTCAAGGATCAACACTGTCCTTTAAGGAAGCAGGTTGGCTTCCACTAACTTCCTTTTTGCATCTGGTCTGCAGACATATTTAAAGTATTCACAAACAGAAGGTCAGATACCTTAGTCATGACATCTAACCACTTTTTAGGGTAATCTACTAGGATGAATATAAAAACCAATTCTTAGGTAAGGAAAAAAAAACAGTATTAGGTAATACAAAAATTAACATCATTTCAATACATGCCATGTGTTAGGTAGTGACATATATTGCTGGTATCCATGCTGCATAACGTATACTAGTGTGTCCTTATTCTCTAATCAGGGTCCCTTCGTGTGACACATACAAATACTCATGAAAAGCTCAGTTCAAACCATCCAGACCAAAGTGTACGGTTTAGTTTAATCAGTGCTGATAACTTAATTCACTCCTGATTTAATTTTCAGTAAGTATCTGGGCATTTTCTGGAGGACCAATTGACATGACATGGATGCAGGACCACAAACTGGTGGATTTCACCTTGATTGACATTCCAAGAATAATTTAATTCTGAGTTCTCTTCTGTTTGGAGAATTGTTTCTCTATCCTCATTTTGAATCTGCTTGGATAAACCTTAAAATGCAGCAATATGAACAAATTCATAGTTTCCCTTTACAAATTCATGAAAGAAATGAATGACCTAGAACAAGGGCCATGTCATATTTCATTGCTCAGGCGGCAAGATAATGCCAGAAAATGACTTCAGTTCCAAAGCTCATGGTTATCGCGGCATTTAATTATCTGAGGCTAAACTACTGACATGCAAATTTTTGTTGTTTTATCCCCCCTACACATATATTAGGACCTAAAGAGTCAAGAAGAGTCTTGATTTAGTTTGTGGAACATCACAGAACTCTCTTACTGTAGCCTTTGGATACTTGAAAAAGCATTTTAATTGCTAATGGCACAAAAATCAAAACAGGAATCTAATGGGAATCAGGGTTAGGAAGGAGAGAAGGCTAACAAGCCCCTCCTCGTGGTTTTCTCTATGCTTCTAGGAGTTATCCTAGGAGGACAGTGGAGGTCCCTGCTTCGTGGAAGCACCAAGAGCATGTCCCAAAGCAGAACAGACAGGACTTCTGGAGTATTAACTTCCCATTGTTGAGGAGTTATTCACCACACAAATACTTCACTTTTATAAAGAAGTCATTTCAAGCTTTAGACTTTATTTACAATGATAATTTTCATAGTTTTATTATTTAGAAAATAATTTATACTTTTCCATCATTTAAACAAAGAATAGGCCTGAGTCTCATGCCTTTTGCACAGCTTTTACCTTCAAGAAAGTTCTCTGGGAAAGAAAGGCAGAGGACACAGGGTAACTGCAAATATATACATCTACTAAACAGTCGGCAGGGTATTCAGTTCTTCTCTTTAGCATTATAGGGACTGCAATGACTAATGTTTGTTCTGGAGTAAAACCCAAACAGAACCGAACAGGGGATAGTGAGGGTAAGAAACCGATACTTTCTCAAACAGGAGACCATTATCTCAATGCCAGATGAGGACAACTATAGAAAATGCAGAGCTACCGAGTTCATCTCTTACTGATAACAAAACCAGGTCTTACATAAATAAGAACATTTTTTTTAAATTACAGATAAGTAAAACAGCAAAAAAATGGTATTTCTGCTAAGGAAATAGTATTCAAAAGGCCAACTGGCGTTGATCATGATAAAGGTATTCAATTAGGATGCGGAAAATGACATGGATAACATGCAGAGTACACTTCGGCTTTTACGCCATAGTGAGCGAGAGCCGGTTCCAATTTCTCCTACCATTGATGTGTTATGGCTGTCTATGAAACTATCCTTTCCCTAAGTGGGTAGAAACCCCTCCACTGGGAGACCTGAGTTTATCAAATGGCACCTGTATAGGTTCATATAAATCTGTAGTAAATCACATGGAACACATTGGCACCACAGGGAGTTAACTCTGAAGTTGGAGGAGAACACAGGTCATTGCTGTCACCAAGACGTTAGACAACATCATTCATTGTCAACACTTTAGATGTTGTTTGATAGCTTTTGAGATCTATCAGGGTGGGCCTTTAGGTCACACACCTTTCAGTTTGTTGCCTTTTGGGTTGAGTAGAATGACAACTTGTTCTCTAAGGGAAAGAAAAACTGATCTGCCTGGATGAATGAGTATAATTCTGGAACAAATAGGTTCAGATTACCTTAAAACAAGCAAAAATAGGCAGTTTTCTGAGTCTGCTCCCCATGATATAACCACCCTGGCTCCTACTCAGATTCTGTGGCTTTATTCAAACTGCATATATATTCACAATGGACTTGCCAATCTACTCACTCAGACATAGCTTGTCTGACTATTTACACTTATGCTATAGACATGTGTCCTTTGGAGATGGGGATGAGAACCGAGTAGATGTGAAAGGTATGAATGCAAGTGCTTTGCCTATCATTTTTTTATTGCAGGGGAAGGGGACCTTCACCAAAGAGGGCTTCTTGCTTCTAAGTAGATTTACAGAGACACACAGACACCATGAAGAAGAAAAGAAATGATTCAAGACCTGCTAAATGCTGAAGACCTGGTGTTGACTCAGAAACACACTTGAACATATTCTAATTATTTGGATGAATCCTTAATCTTTTCAATCCTCTTTATACTGTCTATTAAATAGAAAATCTGCTTGAGACATTTGATTTCATCTTTGTCTACTTTGAAAAATGCTGTGAATTACCATTAAGCCATGCTTTTGAAGGGAAGGGTATGCTACCCATGTCTGGGAGATGAAGGGATTTTTAGTGTACACAATCAAGGATGTGAAAGGGCCAAAAATCAATGCACAGGTCTTGGAGGCTAAGATGATGGGAAGTCTGTGAATACAGAACTTCACTGGGGGCTACAAGCCACAAAGTCCAGGGAGAAGGCTTTCATCAGGGAGGGAAAGAACTCAAATTAAGTCAGTTATCAAAAGCTGCTGTCTCTGCAATGCCTTAATTTAACAGCAAGACAACTGTATCAGATTAGGACTCAAACTAGAGTAGGCAGTGGAAGGTGGCCCTCAGATTCCACAATGAACCCTCACCTAGCTCCTGGGCTTGGAGATAGCTACAATGTATAAAATGGTGATTAAAATATAACTATAAAATGTTTCCCTTTTCCCCCTTTTTTTTCTTAAAAAAGTTTACTATCTACAGAAACAAAAAAAAACATTCTTTATATTTACATCAAGATAACTAGTCATGACATACATAATAATATCCAATAAAATATTGAAAGTGAGTATCAACTTTTTAAATAGAGGTTTGGCTCACAGCATAAACAAGTGTAGGAAACAAAACAAAACAACTCAAACAGCTTTCAATGGCTAAGCCACAAACAATAATCAACCTCCCTATAACCTTCATGGAGCATGACCACAGACCAGGCTGTAAAGCCATGCTATGCCATCACACAGTGTAGGGAAGACCACAACAGGCAGTGTCAGAGCAAACATTCTTCAACAGTTGCCAAGGGTCAATTCTCCCAAGGTCAACTTCCAAACCATAAGCTGGCATTTCACCTTCATCTCTTGTCATAAAAGCCTTGGTGAGTTTGTTGACTTTCTTTTATAGTACAATATGTCTTGCAGCAAATTGAGAAGACACAGGGTATCATCACTAAAGGTAATTTCCTGGGCCTTTCCCAGCACCCTTTTAGAACTCTTACCTGATGAAGAGCTGATGCCAGCTCCTCTTGGGCGTCCACCACTAAAGAATGGCATCCCCTTCCATGGCTATTTGATCATAGGTGAGTGACATGTGTACTCACATACACACCTTATACATTCATTAGGCGGGTAGACTGGAAAGCCTCAGTCTTGTGGGTGTGAGGCTGGTGGGGGAGCGCCTCCAAGTGGCCAGTAGCAGTGGTACCAATCATGTGGCCCACACAAGCCCACCCTCTGAAAACAGAACCTTTGTGGAAGCTAAATGGAGGAGGGCTGCCATTCAAAGACACGCCAGAAAGAATTTCCTTCTGTATGTTGACATGGACTTTGTCACCTGCTACAGCTATTCTATGAACAAGTAAAATCACAAACATCTCCCTTTACACATGTATACAAACATATCTCTTCTCTCTCATGCACGCACACACACACACACACACACACACACACACACACACACACTCACATACACTTACACACACAGACTGTTGGCAGGATGCATTGGAATTCCAACAATGCTAGATAAGGTTCATCCCTCAGTAGGGAGAACAAAAGCTGGTCACTCTCAAGCCTACATTTGTTTTCTTGCTAAGCTGCACATTTCCTCATGACTTCTTGCCCTTTGTGATTTCTTATGTCACAGTGACCTCTATATATCTTAATAAGACTGTTACTACCTTGTGGAGTCAGGCATCCTGGCTATCAGTGTGCATGTGTTACATGTGACTATAAGTCTTACATGAGCCTATGTGGGAATTTATACACACACATATATTTCTTCCTTATAAACAATCCTTAGACGCTGGTGTCGCAAAGTGAAAGAAAGCTTCTTTGAGCCGGAGTCTTCAGCGCTGTCCCTTACTGTAAAAGTAAACACACAAAATGTGAAGAATTCCCCAAATGCTTTAGCCATTTGCCCGTCTTCTGGTGTTCTACAGTGTTGTGTCTAAGTGTTGTGCTGGCTTGGAAAGTATCTGGGACAAGTCATTCTGTCTGCAAACACAGCTCGCTCTACCCATGGTCACAGGTCTGGCTGTGGAGCCGGGGTCTCCTCTGCTCTTGGCTTCCCCTTCTCTTCCTCTTCCTCTTTGATAGCCTGGATCTGCTCTGAGGAGTGCTGTGCAGGAGCCTGGTCCAGGGACTGGTTCTCTATGCCTGCTAAGCTCTGTTCTTCTTCAATCACTTTCTTCCACATGGTGTGGTTCTGCAGGAGGTGCTGTGTTATTTGGCAGTAGATTTTCCTCCTTTTGAAAGTTTTCTTTCCTGCAAAACATAGACCATCAAAGTGAAGTATTTGTGAGCTACACACATAAAGGCTATTGCTTTTCAGGAGTTAAGTATCTTGTCTCTTTAGACAATTATCTATCTGTCTTTCTCTTTATCGATCCATCTACACTTCACTTCCTTTACCTGCACTAACCATGCAGTTCTCTAGATTGAGGAAGAAAAGGAACATGAAAAGAAACTATTACTGAGATAAATGTGAACAATATTTGAACAATATTGCATATTTATTCATACTCACATCAGGTTCTGCTTGTATTATTATTTTGTTAAAAAATATTTGGGGTGTATGTGTGCATGTGTAGCGTAAGTGGACCCGTGTACACGGATGTGCAGGTGTGGAGGTCAGAAGTTGATGGTGGCATCAACTTTCAGAGAACAGAGTGATAGCCACTGTCATGGAACCCCAAGACACAAGTCTTTCTCTATCACTTCCCACCTTAGTCTTTGAGATAGCATCTCTCACTGAACCTGGAGCTTGGCAGGGATCACGGGATGCTCCAGCCATGCTAGATTTCTTGAGATCCATCTGTAGACATCTTTATGCAAGTCTTTAGATGGCTTTATTATAAAAGGAAGCGGAAACTTCTTGCACTATAGAACAGTAAGATCTAATTATAAAAATGTGCAGAAAAAAGAATTCAGTTAAATTATTTTGAATTATTTTTGAACCACATAGAGACATTAAATTAAATAAATGCCAGGAGATAGTAGCATGGGCACAGAGTTGTAAAAAAATAATTTAAATTTAAATTCTTTTTTACTGTAGTCATCATTTATTGATGAGATGAATTCATCAATGAAACTGACACTGACCAATTGGAGAGCACTTTTTTGTTTTCTGTGTACTTCAAACAAAGATTGGTTAGGCTCAGAGTTTGCCTTCAAAGCACTTACACTCTGCAAGTACACTCTGGGAGAGACATGAGTAAATGTGCTGTTTGGGACAGCGATACACTTGTGACAGAGACAGCTTTATTATTTGTAATAATCAGTGTTCCCCAGTTAGCTTCACAGAAATTTGAATCACCTGGGAGAGGGGCTTTGGGGCATATCTGCAGGGCTGGAGTGGCGGTTGGAAGCCCTGCCCACTATGAGTGGCACCATTCCCTATGTAGGAGTCTAGGGAAGCATATGAGAGGAGAAAGTGCATGGAGCACTAGCAAGCATGGGCTGATTCATTGCTCTCTGATTCTTGAGTGTGGATGCGATGGACAAGACAGATCTTGGCAATGTGACTTTCTCACAAGGAAGGACTATAACCTGTCCTTGTGAGATAAAATACACCAATTCTCCCCGAGTTGTTGTTGTTGGTTTTTTTTTTTTTTGTTGTTGTTGTTTTGGTCAGAGTATTTTATGGCAACAGTGGGAAAGTAACCAAGACACGGTTGGTCTTAGCTTTGCATTTTAGATCGGGGACTCACCACCTACTCACACCTGAAGACCATGATCTCTCCATCCTTTTACAACTTCAGTTTAGCAATCTACTGACTGGAAATAAATTCTCTAATCCTTTGCAATGCCTTGCAAGGTCAGCACAGAGGAAGATAGTACTAACATAGCAGTGCAGCTGGAAACACAATGTGCGTGTCAGATCTCGGGTTCTGTAGTCTTAAGATGTTGCTAGGATCTAATGTTAAATGGCCTCACCAAGGCAGACTTTAAACAAAAGAGGAAGAAAGAGAGGGGGTGGAGGTGAAGGGAAGAGTAAGAGATGGGGGGGGTGGAGAGAAAACAGCATGGAAGGACAACAGATGAGAGGTAAGGACAGTAAGGGTTAGACAAGCAAGAACCGGAGCTTCCAAGTGATTTTCTGTTCTCAACCATGCATCTCACAGTAGGAGTGCTGGGATTACGAATGCTAGTACTTACCACCACCACCACATCTGCCTTTTTTTTTTTTTCCTGTATGGGTCTTGGGATCAGCCTTGTGCAGAGAATTTTTATTTGCTAGGTCAACACAGCCCTAATTTGGCTTTTTAATTGACTTTTTAAGATCAATGGCTGAACTTGGCTTCTTATGGCTGCCAAAGCACTGCCTCTGACCCCCAATAACTCTAACAAGACACTTCCTCCAAAGAAATATCACTGACATTTGTTGGTTAACATTGACACTTGGCAGGACCTAGAAGCACAAACAAAAGGGAAACCTTTGGGCCACTTCATTGTGGGAATTTCCAGAGTAGGCTGAGGTGGGAGGAGCTTCCTAAATGTGGGGGCATCATTCTATGGGGCTGAGGTCCCAGGCTGAATAAAAAGAAGGAAGCCAGCAGAGCACGGGCATTCACTGGCCTCTACTTTCCTATTGCAGATGCCATGTGCCACACCTCTTCAAGCTCTTCTGTGAGAACCCAGCTGTTCTCCAGCCTGCATTCGGTGACGCATCACCAACCACTCTACCCTTGAAAAGGTCCTTGCACCTCTCTTGGTCTCTCAAGTTATCTCTTGCCCTCTGTCTCTCTGAATCTGTCTCTGCTCTCTCTTGTCTACACTCCAAGATGGAGGAGCACCTCTTTTAGCACCTCTCTCCCCAGATCTCTAGCATGAAATCTCTGGCATGGTCTGACCTCCATAGCAGTCCTTGGCTCTGATTCACCAAGGTACCCTGATGCCTGTGACTCAGCGGGATACCCCAGCGCCTGCCTGCACTCTCCTCCCACCCCATCCACGGACAGTCTCAGCTGCACTGGGACCCTATCCCTTATCTCTAGTGCATCTGCCACAGATTGACCTCTGGCTCGCTGATCACTGACACCATTCCCACAACAGCCACTGTTAAGTTTTCCCTTCGGTCAGTATAAATGCTTGCCTGAATCCAAGGGAGAGATTACTGAGTGTCCATTCTCCATCCCGGTATTCTTGGAGGTGGAGGTACCCCCAGCCACAGTCGTTAAGGCTGCGATTGACTCTCTTCGATGACCCAACCTCTGACCATTTCTGTTGGGTAAGCCTTCATTTCTGAGCTCTCTCTCTCTCTCTCTCTCTCTCTCTCTCTCTCTCCCTCTCTCTCTCTCTCTCTCTCTCTCTCTGTCTTTTGACTTTTGGCATCATTCCGAAGTCCTGATACCAAGCACCATGTCTCCTCAGTCTTTTAGCTCTGATCCTGTCCAGTGTTGTCAATCTAATAAGCAGCACGTGTCTTCCTCATTTAGTCCCCCTGAGTCCTTGGGTTGCCTTGGACTTCAGGCCTTGGACCTTCCCCTCTGCCTCAGCTATGAGAACTGTGTTATCTGCACCTCCTGGCTTCCCTTTGGGGTGCAACTTGGAGAAACTCCAACTGGAGGGTTGATGAACTTACCTGCCTTTGCAGTTGAATCTGACCTCAAAACCCCTAAGACAATCAATCAGTCAATCAATCAATCAATCTGGCTGCCCAGAGGCACAGCTACATCCTGAGTTATTAGGCAACTCTACAGCTAATTCCAGCTGATGGGAAATGTACTGTGTATGTTTATCTTATTGATTGTTGAATAAAGTTCGGTTTGGCCAATGAAATAGCAAGTTAGACGGGACTAGGAGTCAAAGAGGATTCTGGGAAATGTAGTAGAGAAGTGGTGATCCAGGCCGGAAGTGACATAGCAAGGAGACTCATGAGCAAGGAGAAACAGGAAGGGTCCCTTTTTCCCCTTCGCGTCCTCCATCGGCAGGATGTGAGTCACTGGCAAGGAGGGACGCCAATAAGGCATCCGATAAGATAAGTCTTATAAAATATATAGATTTATGATGATTAAGACTAAGCTAACAGATGAGAATCCTAGACATTGGCCAAGCAGCATTGTACCTAATGCAAGTCTCTCTGTGTATTAATTTGGGCCCTAACTCGGGCGCCATGGCAGCTTTTGGCAGAAAGATTTATCGTAACAGCCAGCAATCAGGGAAATGGAAATTCCCCATTCCTTATTTCCTTTTTCTCCACTCCCAAGCCCTGTTTGTTTTGTCTGGTCTTTTAAGCTAAGGTTGATAGATCTGTAACTTTGCTGCAAAGTGGGAGCTGTCCGGATGTCAGGAGAGGAGGGGGCAAAGGAGCAGGTTGCCTTGCCCAGCTTCTCTCCCCTGCATTCTTCACCAAGGTGCTAATCTAACTCTCCTAAAGATACACGCCAATCATTTGTTTGTGAAGTTGATTCTGAATTCTACAGTCTGATTCTTCAGTTGCTGCTTCTCCCTGACCTTCTGTGCCCTGCACACGGCACCTATGTGCCTCTCTGGCTTCTGCAGCCTGAAGGGCCTCTAGCCTGCTGCACCCATGCAGACAGCCCCCTTTTCTCCTGCTCTGTCCTAACTTTCTCTTGCCTTGCCCTAGGAACTGCAGTCCCACTTAAACAGCCTGGCCCAGGAGCTGCAGTCCCACCGGAGGCACACTGGGACTCCTTTCTTTGCTTCTTTCTTTCTTTCTTTCTTTCTTTCTTTCTTTCTTTCTTTCTTTCTCTCTTTCTTTCTTTCTTCACATTTAGAGCTACCCGTACTCTCTCTCTTTCTTTGTGCCTTTCTGGGCCTATGTTCTGTGAATTTCCTTGCCTCCCCCAGGAGCTGTGTGATGTGCTTCTCAGTTCCTAGTTGTTCCTCCTTGTCTTTAACCCTTCCTCTCCTTGTCCTAGGCGATAAGTGTCTCTCTGGCTCATGGAGCTACTGTCTACTCACTTGGGGCTCCCGCCATGTGGAAAACTTTCTTGGCTCTGGCATTTTGCACCCCTGTGGGTCTCTCTACTAAAGACAATTACTGGCTCCCTTCTCCCTGCCATCACCAGGCTGTCTCGGGCTCCAGTCCGCAGTCCGGAAGCTTTAGCTCTCAGCTCCCTCTTGGAGCTTGTAGGAATACACCCTCACAGTGCTCTGCTTTGCAAATCTCTCTTCCTCCAGGGACTCAGATTTTATTACAACAGCCTGGTCTCTGTTCAGATCAATGGCCAAGAAATTGGCTAAATTGATTTCTAAATTCTCACAAACCATAGCAACTGCTACTGCACAGACAAATGAGC